TGATCAAGGGCACTGTTCTCCTTTTCATTGTTGTTTTTTTTTACCTTGTGACCAGAAGAGAAACAGAAGCCAGAGTCTACCGCGATGTCAATTTTATTTGCATTTCGAAGTCAGTTAACCGCAGAAACCATGCGTTGAACGACTGCATGTAATGACTACATGACTGCATGACTACAGGTAAGCATAGCGCTACAACAAAGCGTTGACAGCGTAGTTTAGACTGGAAAAAGATCAAAACTGTTATCATTATGCTAATATTTGATGTATGATGATTTTTTGTTTTTATCTTATCACTATTATAAAGTCCCGACGCCGCCGCATTGACACTAACTACCCAGTGTTATTACCAGGCCTAACCAGTCCTAAGGTTTCATTAGAGCATGTTTTTTAATGTGCTCACAGGTGGGACACGCCCTGTTAAGTCAGCCGGGTCCAAACCGTTCCCATGTCGTTTTGCATGATTAAAACTGAAAAGGCCAATATTCCCAAAAGTTCCGGTATTTCCCCCCCCCCCCCGGAAGTTGAACGGCTGCGTTCATGGGCATAACCCAGCTCCATGTAAGCAATCCATGGGAGATAATTTATTCATGGAGTAGAAAGTCACGGCGATCAAGTGCCGCGGAAATCCGTACTTAACATGAAATATGATTTCGAGCGCCACATTGTTTCGGAAGTGGCCTGCTATTTTACAGCGTTCTCAACGTTCCATGACCATGCTCCACCGTCCATATGCCATCATTTAGATCAGTGTACCTATTCATCTCTAAAAACATAGCAAAACGTCACTCTGGTGATGAATGCGCAGTAGCTGCACTAAATGGACCTTGTATTGATCGTTTGTATTATCAAAAAATACTGTGCCACATAGAGATTTTATTGAAATATAGCCATACGGTGATCGCGCTAGCAGTGGCCACCCTGCTCACCTGCAACGACCTCCATCCTGTCGCCTGTCCAACTTTCCCCGACAGGTGACTCAATGGTGTGTAGCGTAGCTCGCAAGGAGTAAAGCACAGTGTTTTCGTACAGCACGACCACACGCCACGATGAGAGGTGCGCGCTGGGTATTAGCCCGTGCTCCACAGATTGTGCCTGTCGTCAGTCAGACTCACTGAATAGAGCGATGACGAGGACACCAAGTCCCAGCGGAGTTGGAGGAAAGAATGATGTACAGATCAGACAGTTGGTGGAAACCATCGAACTTTGTAATAAACCTACGCCGCATTCTCGAGACGCAAAGGCTGACCTTCCAGCACCACTGCCTGCCAAGCATGCCAGCTAAAATTCCAACACAAAAGGCGATATTCCAATCGCCGGTTGCCGTCTCCTGCCAGCGGGTGCGCCACATGACGCACGGGAGCGGCGTCGCCAGCTTTCGAAAACCTGAAAGCCCCCCAGCCAAGGTCATCGTCGCTCGTCAGGGACGGCTTCTCCGCTGCACACCCGACACGCCCGCGCCAGACACGTAACATGGCGCCATTTTTTGCCGCGACGAGCACGTAGTTGGCTTTGCGGGGCTCTCGAGGGGGGGGGGGGACATCGGGCCTGTTTTACCGGACGGCGCTGCGCCGCACCGCGACCGAAATACGGCGCAGTGTCTGTTCATGCTGAGCTGACGACCGAAGGACGGGGACCACAAGGCTCGGGGAGGAGGCGTGGCTGCGGAGGGCGGGAGCCGCCGGCTCGGCGGAATCTCAGCAGCCGTGGCGCCCTGCTGACCAGCGGCGGACGGTCGGCCCGCCGCGCACCGCATTCAGCGCTTATTCAGCGCGAGCGCGCGCGGCCCGGTCGGCGCTCCCGTCCTTCCACGGGCCGAATTTCAGCGGCGGGACGAATGGCGGCCCGGGTCCTTTCTCAGAGCGATGAGGGCGGCCCGGTCCTTTCCCGCGCGGCCGGCGCCGACCCGTCCGCCCAATTCAGGCCGGACTGCTCAAAGCACCGGCCTGCCGCGGCGCGCGGACCGCCCCAACCTCGGACGGCAGGGACGGAACGCGCCCCGCGCCCTTGAAGCAGCTCGCCCTCCGCGATTGTAACAGGCACGCGGACCAGCGTGACGAGAGTTGAATGGACGCCGCAGCTGCTGCAGTGGTTTGGCTGAAATACAGAGGGACGCGCGGGTGAACTTGGTGATCCACGGGCGCTCGGGCTGAACTCGGTGGTCCGCAGGCACTCGGGTAAACTTGGCGATCCCGGGTGCTCGGATGAGCTCGGTGATCCGTGGGCGCTTGGGTGAGTTCGGCGATCCGCGGGCGCTCGGATGAACTCGGTGGTCCGCGGGCGCTAAGGTGAACCCGGTGGTCCGCGGGCGCTCGGGTGAACTCGGTGATCCACGGGCGTTCGGATGAACTCGGTGATCCGTGGGCGCTTGGTTGAGTTTGGTGACCCACGGGCGCTCGGATGAACGCGGTGGCCCGCGGGCGCTAAGGTGAACTCTGATCAGCGCAGTGGTCTCCGAATAGTTCTATTTGATTTGTGCAGTTTGCGTATTCTTAGCCACATAAAAACAGTAAGAAAACTAAAATGCAAGTTCAAACAGCTGCGGTGTTCTCAGGGGAGTTCCGCCGAGTTCACGGAGCACCTCAGGTGGGTCCCAGAACAGCTAAGGCAGTCTGTGGACTTGATTGTAGTTCTCGCTACAGCAAAACGCCCGCGGCGTGGGACTGGAAAGGAGCCGAGGAAGCTAATCTTTGGAAGTGGGCGCCCAGATGACTCGCTACCGAGATTTCAGCTCGGCGGGTGCAGCCGACTGACATTTGATTAGTTAATTTCTCTATGAGCATTTTGCACGTTGTGTGTGGTGTACGCGATTGTGGAATGACAGGTATTAAATATTTTGTTTAGTGTTCAATGTGAAAAACTGGAGTGGTGGGAAAATTTTCCGAACATTAGTGACGACGTTCCTTTGAACCATACATCTTACGGATCACTCCGTAAGTTGTGGTTAAAAAATCTCTAGAGCTAACCTCTCGGGTTGTCTGACTTTCATCACGGTGCTGACGCTTTTTGCGGTGGATTCCGCTGGAAATCCACGCCGGGTTTATTCGTCTCTTTTTAAGATCTCGGAAACCATTTGGCGGATTTTGATGTGCGAGACAAGTGAAACGCAGCCATAGCTAACTCTGTTGTTATCAAAATAAGCAAATCTCGTAGGTTGTTTAGTGCTATTGTTTCGAAACAGGCATGTTGTCGAAATATCAACGCAGTTATAGCTTCCTTCTGGTTTTTCTCCGATGAATAAGGCTGATACTTCTGTCTTATCTACAAAAATAAGCAAACCCATGCCGGTTTTTATGAGATCCGCGGAATGACTTGTCTCATGACTGCTTCACCAGAATCGGTTCCAGAAATAAAGAAGAAAGAAATAAAGAAGAAATAAAAGCTTGCGATCTGAACCAGGCACGCGCTCGATTCCACTTTTTCAAAATTCATGCCAGCTACGACTGGCAACGCACGGGCGACTCTGACTCCGCACTGCGGCTGGCAACGCACGGGCGACTCTGACTCCGTTAGTACGACGCAACTAAGAGCCGGCTGAGGGAAAATGACTCGATTCGGGAATGGAATCTGATGGAACCGATTCTGGTGAAACGGTAATGAGACAAGTCGTTTCGCGGACCTCATAAAAACGGGGATGGATCTGCTTATTTTCGTAGATAAGACAGAAGTATCAGTCTTATTCATCGGAGAAAACAACATGCCTGTTTCGAAACAATAGCACTAAACAACTTACGAGATTTGCTTATTTTGATAACAACAGAGTTAGCTATGACTGCGTTTCACTTGGTTTGGACAGGTACTATCAGTATATCGTATGCAGACACTAGATAATCGCGTATATTAATGTATACGGGACTGTGAGGAAAGGCGTGTTTGATACAGCGTTGTGGTTCGCACAAATGCCAACCATAGGTCTTTTGTGTAATTCTGTGCCCCACAACCTCCAAAACCCTGATGCACCCGCCACTGCGACATTGGAACTTGCTGCCGTGCAGTCATAAACAACCTGTTTGAGATTACCCAGGACGAGATCTGAGCTGTCGTTTCCCAAATACACGTTCCTGGATTAGCCCCATCACCCCTGCGTCCTGCTCCGCAATGGCCGTGTATTTTAGCGTCGACTCCATGCCCGACAACAGGCTAAAAAGCACCATATGCCCAACAGGCACTGCTTTCAGCACAGGCGAGAAAAAAGATGTCGATTCATCGAGACGATCTACCTCGCATACCATTCACATCCGCATATGGCGATGTCATGTTCCCAATAGACATTGTCAATGATGATCCAAATGCGTTGACGTGACAACCCGTTTCTGTCCAGTATCGATTTTCAGCAACAGGAAGGACTCCTCAGCCGCTGCGTATCTCTGAGAAGGCCGCCATCTGTCGCGACCTGTCTGCCTCAGTTCAAGTCAGCAACAGCCCCTGGGCGACGTAGCGCGTCAACAGTTTGTCACGTATTAAAGCGACGGCGAATTTAACGAAATGCGAATGCTCCGGCTAAAACGGTTTGGGATCAGATACAAAAATTCGGATTGGGTATGAGTGACCAGTTGCCACCCTCGTAAAAATAGGGTTAAGCGATTTAAGACGTCGACTTGCTGACGTAAATAATGATTATACCAAAGCCTTATAGTTGTCAGCCGTGGCATGATTCAAATCATACGCCTACAAGTCCAAGTGCGTCAAGTCTTTCCGCGCGCATACGGCATTTACAACTGAAATAAAAAAAACGGGAACACCTCAAATGCCTCAAATGTAGTAAATCGTAAGACTTTTATGCGCAACGCGAAAACGACCTTTGATGGCCTTCAGTTTCGGTGTTGATGTTCTGCAATCGTGAGCATACAATAACCCTTTGAGAAGCACCCTGAAAAGACTCCCTTCGCTTCCATCGACCAAAAGACCACCGACAGCCTTCGCTTGGCTTGGCAATAACCGACGAGCTGTGCTGTTTTCCCCACGGGGTTCAAGGCCCGGTCACAACATCAACACACTCTCACCGCGTTGGATAGTCGCAGTTTATTGTACACAATCGAACATTTACAAAACAAGCATTCCTCGGAAAGAATGACTGCAGTTGCCAACTGTAAACGCTCCTGTAAAACAAGACATTAATCACGTAATAAGCGCAAGAGCAGGGTAAGACTTAAAACCACGCATTTACACTAGACACATCAAAGGCCAGCTTGACAATATCGATACAGTTCGACACGGGCGATGCACCGCTTCCGCCCCGTCGTTCGTTCCAAGCATCGGCCCACCGTTCAAACCCTCTCACGCCCAGCAACACGATTCTGATTAAACTCGCTGCCGAGCAGCTCTCTTAACAGCGGCGACCTCGCTAAGAACGGGAACTCCCCGTCCGCGGTCCAATAAAATGCCTCCCTGGCCAGCGAGCAGCAAAATACAGCTAAAAGGAAAACGCAGCGACTTCGTCCTGCCCAGCTTCCCTACCGCCGCTCTCCCGCACGCACGGAGGGCGGGTCTGTTCCTGCGGCCCCCCGCAGACCACGGGCGTCAGCGCCCCGGGCCACAGCGGCCTACGTGCGGTCCCGCGGACTCCGTCGGTCGGGCTCGGCCGAGTTGCGCCGTCCAGCCGCTAGGGGCGCCCCGAGCGGCGGCGGCCGGTCTGTGGAAGACTGCCGGCGCGCCGCGCCGACGGACGGAGCTTGACGCCGTTCGCCACCGCCACTACGGCTCCTCCTGCTCCTCCTCACCGGCCACTACAACTGCACCAGCTCTGGAACGGGCCGCAGCGTCAACCGACGGCTCCCCGGCGCTGTCGCGGCCGCGTGCCTCAGAAGCCCCTCACGCAAATCACGTGTTTGCAATCGCGGGCTTGTGTTTTACGTAAGTCTTCTAGTCTCGCCCACACGAAGCCCTATATTTACAGCCCCATAAATTACCTACACGCTGGGATCGGACACCAGCGACCATTCCCTCCACACCCATCCACAAACATGGTTCATGAGAAGCCTTAGACACGCGACAGCAGGGAGGAATGCCACTGCGGCCGGTGCTACGCCCTCTCACGGCATCACATCACCCCCCGAGCGTGGAAAGCCCATCCTCACACAGAACGGGCGGCGGAGGAGGACAGACCGTCGAGCCTTCGTTCTCGCAAGATGCTCAATGCATACACACAAGCCGGACGACTCTGATACCGACAACGCCCACAAACACCAGCGTCGAGACCGGCGGTTAGTGTACTCGGGGGAGGATCGCCGGGCGCTGAGGGGAAGAAGGCGGCTGTGACGACTGCAGCGCGCGCGTACACACACACACACACACACACACACACACACACACACACACACACACACACACACGCACACACGCACACACACGCACACACGCACGCACGCACACGCACACACACACACGCACGCACGCACGCACGCACGCACGCACGCACGCACGCACGCACGCACGCAAGCACACACACACACACACAGGCGCTTCACTGAAGCGCGCCGCGACAGGCAGTCTCGGCAGGCGAGAGACGACAGACGGTCTCGGCAGACGAGAGACGACAGACGGTCTCGGCAGACGAGAGACGCCAGACGGTCTCGGGAGACCGACTGTCTTCTGGCGGGTGATTGCGACGTCCAGGAAGGAACGCGCGCGCCGGAGACCGTTCTGGGGAGCCCCAGCCACCTCGGATTCCGGTGACGCGCCACATGCTCCAACGGCCGCTCCGTCCAGGGCGCCGCGCCATCGCGGCACCACGCCTTCCCTGCCGGGCACGCCGGCGGCCAGCCCGTCGGCGCCGCCCCTCTGATGGCGGCCGACGCCGCCGCCGACAACGGAGCGGGCCGCCTGACCCCGGCGCCCGCCGGCGGCTCACACCGAGAGCCCGCCAGCCGTGTGAGGCTGGCCCGCCGCCGTGCCGGTCAGACCGGCCGACGGGTCGCTTCACCTCGGCCTGCAGCTAGTGCCGCAGCATGACCAGCTGCATGACGCAGTTGTATATTGAGTCGCTCCAGTGCAGTGCCGTGAGTTATGCCATAAAATGCAGTCCCCGATAACCGATGCCAAAATGTCCCGCACCAAATCGCAGCTTATTAGGTCATAAATACAAAAGCGACATGACACAACTAATTGAATACAGTGAGTTATGGCGGAAGTCCTGTTTTGCCTGGGTGCAGTTCAGCACAGGCACACTAGAGCCTAGGCCAGCACAGGTACGCTAAAACCCCGCAGAGCCAGGGGGTCGCCGGCAGTGGCGTGGCGATGACTCAGGGGCGCGGTCATGGCATTCGTGCACGCTGCAGCGCAGTACGGCACGGCGGCCACCGGGCGCCAAAAATAGTTACATGACGTACCAGCTACCACGATGCCGTGTGGACACAGATTGTTCGTGACGACGAACGAAAGCCACCTATGTTGTGTAACCTGGCGTTTGTCGGGAGCCACTGCCGACCGACGTCAACCTGGCTGGGCACTCGCTGGGACAATGCGCGGCGACCCGGAGTGACCCAGCGGAGCTGACTGGGATAGTCCGGGGCGGCAGGTCAATGGCTGCAGGCAACGGAGACTCGGAGAAGGGGATGTCATAGAAGTGACAGCACGCGCCAGGAGTCCCCGAGCGACAGCACGAGCCAGGAGCACCGAGGGACAGCACGAGCCAGGAGTCCCCGAAGCGACAGCACGAATCAGGAGCCCCGAGCGACAGCGCGAGCCACGAGCCCCGAGCAACAGCACGAGCCAGGAGTCCCCGAGCGACACCACGCGCCAGGAGTCCCCGAGCGACAGCACGAGCCAGGAGCCCCGAGCGACAGCACGCGCCGGGAGTCCCCGAGCGACAGCACGAGCCCGGAGCCTCCAAGAGGACGGCGTCCGCGCTAGTCCGAGGACGCGGGAGGGGGAACACGACCGCTCCCAGCCGAGGAAGAGACCACTGCAGAGCCGCGCAATGCCCGGCTTGCAGGCGGCGGTCTCGTCCGGCAGCAGCCGCGAACCCCACATCGCCTCGAGCTGGCCGTCTGACGTACACCAGCACAGCTCGGGCCAAACCCACCCCAGCCGATGTCAGCGCTGTTTTCGTTGGACGGTATCGGGCTCAAGTACGGGGCAAACAGCGAGCCGCGTGCTCAGTGACCCCTGCCGACGCCGCTGGCGATGTCGTGACGCAACACACTGTCTGCCCGCGGCTCGGCCTGAGGTCACACCCGCGTTCCGGGCATATCCCGACGGCCTGGGGCGGCCCAGGCTGTCACGGGGCCCAGCAGTGCTCAGCCGCGGCGACACCTCAGACAAGGGGGAAGGGGGGGGGGAGGGGGCACATCAGACGCCGGCGGGCTGTCTCAGTCATGCATCTGATCGATGCCAGTGAAGTAACGACTGAAAATCAGGGGAGAATGGAAAACAGATGAAACGCTAAAATAAACCCGGCGAAACCGATGACGCTGCTCCGGTAAGGGGTTTCCGCATCAGTCACCCAGCCGCCACAGGAATGACACACATCGGACACGCTGTGCAGACGGGGAGCCCTGCACATCACGCCGCCCCGCTCGCTCGTTGGACCGCGAGCCCCGGGCCCCTACGAGGGTCGACCGCGAGCCTCGGGCCCCTACGAGGGTCGACCGTGAGTGTCGGTCGCGCCGAGTCCCCGTATCCGGGCACGCTGGACACGCTGGACCCGGGCGGCGAGAGAGCGGCTGAAGCCAGGTCAAACAGCGCGGTGTTGTACCTGGGCGCCAGGCGCTGGGCGGCCGCGACCGGGGTCGGCACGATGACCGACTGCCTCCGCGCGGCCGCGGCCCGACACTCGGAGACGCCGCCCACCGCCGGTCGGTCCCGAGCACGTGCCACACACTCTCAGACGTTAGCTCGCTCCCAGCGGCGGACGAGTCCCATACCTTCCCAATTACCGCCAGCCAATCGGCGGCGGCGTGACCGGCAGCTCGGCCCGTGCAGCGTCAGGGAGTTGGCCGCTGACAGGCTGGCCGTGCCGCCCGTCCGGCGGTGCCAGTGCTCATCTGCGGGGCGGGGCAGCTCGGCCCGGACGCCGTACATAGCCGCGGACCGCCGGCCGAGCCATGACGCGCCTGCCAGCAGCCCGGAGCTCCTCATTTAGCCAGGCGCGAGCCGCCGGCAGCCAGGGCGCCGCCACACGGCTTCAGCGCTCCGGAGAGGCGGCTCTGTTTACAGCTGTGTGGAGGTCACACGATGCAGCCAGGGAGCGGTGGCCAACCTCCGGCCCCGCGGCGCGCTGGTGGCTGCCGGCCGGCGGCACCAGCGGCCGGCGGTGTGCCGACCGCTGGGCGCGCCAGCAGACTGCTGGTCGTTGAGCCCAAGCGGGTCCTCCCCTCACAGCCGGCTGGTGAGCCACTCCGAAGCCGGCCCTCCCTTCACCGAGCCGGCGACCCCATCATTGGCAGACGGAACCCCGTCATCCCATCCAGAGCAGCCGCTTGATCAGACGGAGCGGCGGCCTGACCATCCCGAGGAGCAGCCTGACCAGACGGAACGGCAGCCTGACCAAACGGAGCGGCAGCCTGACCAGACGGAACGGCAGCCTGACCAGACGGAGTGGCAGCCTGACCAGACGGAACGGCGGCCTGACCAGACGGAGCGGCGGCCTGACCAAACGGAGCGGCAGCCTGACCAGACGGAGCGGTGGCCTGACCAGACGGAGCGGCTGTCTGACACCCTGCCACGCGACAAGTGGAAGCCACGCCACTGCGCGCAGGCAGCACCCGTCCCAGCTCCATTCTTCGCCGCCCACCGCCTGCCCCTGGCAACTGCACGAGCTCCAGGTCTCCCCCGTCTGCCCTCCCCTCTGCACGAGCCTAAGCTGTACACAAGCTTCAGCCTCCCCCCTCTGTCAGACCCGCCGCTATCAGTGCTGTCCGCCGTCCGCCGGCCGTTTGCATGCATTGGCCGTCGCCGCCGACAATCGTCGCCGGTCGTTCGGCGTGGCAACCGGCCCCGCGGAGCCCTGGGGCGGCGTCCCCCGACGGCCGACCCGCCGTCCGCTAGATGGAATGTGCCAGACGCGCAAAAACGACGCCGCCGCGCTGAAAAACAGTCGTAAAAACGACGCGGCGGCGACCACCGGAAGTGTGACGGCGACCGGAAGGCCGGCAGACCGCGGCAGCCCGGCAACAGGCGGCGAGCGCGGCGCGCCGGCAAACGTGGCGCGCACGCTCCGGCCGCGGCGCACCGGCGCTGCACTCGGCGGGGAGTCGGTCCGGGGTCGGTTTGAAACTCTGGTCGGCGCACTTGGGTTTCGCCCCGGCAGGGCGCGGAAACCGGACGGTGCGCATCAATCGTCGTCTAGGAAATGCGCTGTTCGGGTGTGGGTAAACATGTTGGCTAATGCCCAATGTATGTATTTCTAGTACAGACATTACCCACAGGACAGCGTACATTCGCTGTCTCTGTGTAATGGCACGGCCAGCACTCGCCGCACTTGTGCCCCGGGACCGCCCGAACCCTGGGGCCGACCACCCTGTGCCCCGTGGAACACGGACTGGGGCCGACACTTGTGCCCCGGGACACGAGACTTCTGTCTGGTGGGTTCCGAGGACACTTGTAGCCCCGGGACAACGACTGGGGGCCGACACCTGTGCCCCCGGAACACCGGACTGGGGGCCGGACACCTGTGCCCCGGGACGCCGACTGGGGGCCGACACCTGTGCCCCGGGACGCCGACTGGGGGCCGACACCTGTGCCCCGGGACGCCGACTGGGGGCCGACACCTGTGCCCCGGGACACCGACTGGGGGCCGACACT